CCTCCCAGGCAGCTGAGACTACAGGTACCTGCCACCATGCCTGGCTAACTTTTGTATTTTTTGTAGAGACAAGGTCTCATCATGTTGCCCAGGTTGGTCACAATATCTTGGGCTCAAGTGATCCACCAACCTCAGCCTCCCAAAGTGCTAGGATTACAGGCAGAAGCCACTGCACCCGGCTGATTCTGTTAATTTAGCCACCACAATCTCAATGTGCTGTCCTTTTAAGAGACAAATCAGAAGATACATTTACCAAACAGGGTATACTGCCGGTAACAGCCATCATATCTTAGCCTGACATACCCAAAGGATTTGTCCACTTTGAGATCTGGGAGGTCACCCTTGTTTTAAGAGACTGGAAACTGGAAAGAGTTTTAAAAAACGATCACCTGAAGAATGTTAAGGCTTTGATTTTCACCTGAAGGCTTAGCCAGTATTTCCAAGCATGTGCTGAAAGGTTATGGTCTCCTGAAGATGAATTTAGTGCATCTTGATTAGGAAAGCCAAATGAAAGTAGTCTGTTCAGCCACCGCACACTGACATGTTAAGTGTTGGGAAGAGGGGCCTGGTATTGCATCCTCACTCCCACCACATGCACAGGAGGGTTCCCCACAGGATGGCTACCTTGCAATTGTTGATTAGCCACCCTAAGTGAAACTGTCTTTCCTCCAGAGGCCTTGGGCAGACCTTGGATACTGCCTAGCAATTGTTCCTCTACTTGTCCATTCCCACTGCTATTGAATGAGGGATTCTTGGGGGAAGGGACCACATGTTATTCCTCTCTATACTCCATACACGCAGTGCAGGGCTTGCTAGAGCAGTGAATGAATGTAGGAGCAAATCCATCACCAACAGGTTTAAACCACAAAGGTGTGTGTGTGTGTGTGTGTGTGTATGTGTGGCCCAAACAATTCTCAGGTTATTTAAGAATCTCTTAGACTGCTATTTAATATGTGAATTCCTGAGCTTTACCATAAGACCACAGAATCAGAAGTTAAGGGGTGGGGCCAGGGAACCTGCATTTTAAATGAAGCTCCCTGGGAGATTCTCATGCCTTTAGAAGTTTAAGAATCATTGCCCTAATGATAAGCTCTGCTGAACTGGGTTCCAAGCCCTGTTACTTTCAGAAAAGGGGATTCTCAGACTGCTCTGGGCTTTTAAGATTTAAATAGCCAATTCTAGCCTGAGTTTCCTGGTTGCATAATTGACAGAAGAGGAGGATGGAGGAGGGAAAGCATACTAAGACTTCTAAATCATGGAGGGGCAATCCTAGGGCTGAACATCAGAGAGATGGATGGCCCCCAAGTCATCGGTGGGCCATAGGGACATTGAATCCCACTTCAGAGTGTTCCCTGAGGAGAGCCACTGGGAGCAGAGCTTCTAAGAAGATAAAACAGAACTCGCCTTGATTTAAGGTGGATTCCCAACCTAGGATGCATGGAAGACATTTCTTCATCCACATGCCAAGGCGGGACCACAGGCCCAGCTCCCGGCAGAGAGTGTGCATACTGAATCAATTGAAATTGAATCACGGATATAATTAATTTAATGTGTTTAAACGATTTCCCATGTAGTAAACATGCTAAATGAGGGGGCACCCAGACTAAGATGTCTGCCTAAGAGTGGAAAAATGGATACTGTGTGTGCTGTATAATGAAAACCCTTCAGCAAATGGAAAATGCTTCCATTTATTTTCACCTCCCATGTTCTTTTCCTTTCTAACTCTTTATTTATAGCTGAACTTGGCCTTCTGTGGTTTCCTTGAACCACAGAGACACTTTTTATTTTGTCAGAAGATGTCCTTTTTTCTGTGACCAGAAGACAATTTTAATGAAACCTGTCTACAACCCAGTGACAATCACCTGTTAATATGTGACAAAGGGGATAGGAGGAAGGTAACATGGAGTGCAGGACTGTTTCACTGTTGCGGTCTGTCTCCACTAAAGGGGCACTTATGCAAAGAAAAGGGAGATGGTGTTGAGTGGGTGGAGGCAGGGCCTGGGCAGCTACCATTCCCGCTGTGCTAAACAATCTTGCTGCATGGCTCTGAAGGAGTCATTTTCCCTCTCTGGACCTCAGACACTCATCTACACCAAAAAGCATTGAATTTGAGGATATTTAAGACAACTTTCAGTTCTGATGTTCACTGAGTTCTGAGTCACAAGCTGGAGCAGACATAAACAGGTGCCAAGGAATTTCCCATTAAAAAGAAACTCATCCTCAAGCCGTGGAGAACATTTCAGGCAGTCTAGCTAATTGCTCATCAAGTAAGGATTATGTATTATTTGGCTTAGATGAAAGGGAGCATTTAGAAGTGGTTATAACTGATCTCCAATTAAGATCTATCAGGCACGTGGGCAAAATGCAGAGTTCTAGGATTATGAAGGATGGCAAAATGCTTTCTAGATTCTGTAGCTCTCTATTCGTCCATTTCAACTTTGGATACTTTGAATTCATTTTGAAACAGCCCTGCCAAAATGCTACTTGTGGGACCCTGGGCGAATCCCACCCCTCTCTGAGTCTCAGTCCATGAACTTGTAGGATGAAGAGAAAGCACTTTGGAGGTATTTTGATGGGTGTTCTGTCCAGCATTTCTGAGGGAGGGGTCTCAGGGGCTGCAGGGGTGGGGAGGGGGCTGCAGGAAGAGGGGGCTGAACAGGCAGAGTTCAGGGCTCCTTCTCTGTTCAACTGAGAAGCTCTTCTTTAATCAGTTTTATATACCAGGCTCCACGTGAGATTTTATAACACAGAGTTCTGAGAATAAAAATAATTCTTGAAGCTACTGGTCTGAGGAAAGCTGTTAAAGTTTCCAGCCTGAATCTAGGCTGTGCTACAAAAATGGACTTCACCAATACATTGTGGGAGTGAATTTCTCAGAGCCTTTAGTCCAGAATGGCTCTCCTCAGGGATTTTGGAAATCGACTTCATTTGAGCAAACGTCAGTGCCACCTCAGTGCCTCCCCACTGCCGCCCAGCAGTGGTCTGAAACCCTGCTGTGCATTAGAACTACCTGCAGAGTTTGTTAAAACACAGATGGCTGGGCCCCACCCCTAGAGGTTCTGATTTAATGGGCCTGTGTGGGGCCTGGGAACATGCATTTCTAACAAGCTCCCAGATGATGCAGACCACACTTTGGGAAGGGTTGGCCTGGAAGATAAAGGCCAGTCTCCTCAGCATGTCCCTCCAAAACTGGACCCCAACTTCCCTTCCCAGCCTCCTCATCCAGCTTCCCAGTTTTCCAGCCCAACTAACGGTCCTTCCCTCCCTCTTGCATTTCTCCCTTGCTCACCGTGCTCCCTCTGGCCAGCCCCTTTCTGCACGTCTAACTCCTGCCCACAGTTCAAGGCATGGGTCAAATGCTACTCTTCCAAAAAACCTACCCTGACTTTTTCACTAAAAGTCGCAGAAATCCCTCTGGGCTCGGGCTGGGGCTCAAATAGTTTCTCTCACAGTGCCAAGCACTTTTAACCTCTCATTGTTTTTGTCTAGGCCTTGCCCCTGCTTGTGAGCCACAGGCTCTAGGACAGGGAGCCCATCTTACCTCGGAATCCACACCATTATCCACACCTTCAGCACCTGCACAGGGTCCAGCCCACCAGACCAACAATACAAGCCTCAGCACAGGTATGCACGAATATGCATATTCAAGAAATGCCTCAGCCAGCTCAGCTTACCTACCCTTAATTCCCCAAGACAGACTGACTCGACTCTGAATCTTTAAATTAGAACACAGGACAGCACTTTAGCCCACTCAATCTATTCTTCAGATGAATTTTCCATATTTTCTGGAGCAGAGGCAGTGATGAATACATCATGAGACATAAATAACTACCACTTTGGTCCATTACCTTCTGCAGCAACTAAGAGCTAGACCCAAGTTCAAATCCCACGTGACCCTGTTTAGCTATAGTACTTAAATACTCTGAGTTTCAGGTTCCTCACTGTTCATGGGGATAATAAGAGCACCTACTTCCCATGGATGACATAAGGATACAGTGTAATCATTATTAACAGTAACAATAGCATTTATTGAGTGCCTGCTATGTGCCCAGCACTAGGCATATAATATTGAGTCTAACTACGTTATGTACTTAGCACAATGTCTAGCACATAATATGCAATCAAGAAGTATTAGCCATATTATCATTGCTTATTTTCTCAACTTCCATGCAAGATTTATATTATTATCCCCATTTTCCAGATGAGAAATTTGAGGCTCAGAGCAAGTAGCTTGCTCAATAAATATTAACAAGTTGTATTGTATAATGTGTAATATTTATAACTAGCTTACAAGGTAAGTATGATTTCCATTGTGTGACTGAAAACTGTAGTTCAAAGAAGGTAACTTGTAAATGAAGGCCCAGGATTTGACCCTGATTTTGGGTCCACAGCTTCTCCTGGCCCACCCACCCCACCATCTGGTAAACTGTGCCTGCACTGTGTGCGCAGTCAACTCTCTATGCCCCTTTTTTTTTTCTTTTGAGATGGAATTTTGCTCTTGTTGCGCGGGCTGCAGTGCAATGACACGATCTCGGCTCACTGCAACCTCTGCTTCCTGGGTTCCAGCGATTCTCCTGCCTCAGGCTCCCAAGTAGCTGGGATTACAGGCATGCGTCACCACGCCCAGCTAATTTTGTATTTTTAGTAGAGACAAGGTTTCACCATGTTGGTCAGGCTGCTCTTGAACTCCCAACCTCAGGTGTTCCACCTGCCTCGGCCTCCCAAAGTGTTGGGATCACAGGTGTGAGCCACCATGCCTGGCCTCTATGCCCTTTCTTATCCAAGAGTCATAGAAAAGCATTTTCCCAATGTGTCCAAGAGCACACACTGCCCCTGCCCCTTGTCTGAACAGTCCTGCAATCCTAGGGCCTGCAATTAGTTATTTCGATGATCAGAGATAACAGATCGCATAACAGAAAGCCTGTAACAGCCCCTCTTTTACTTTGCATGTTTACAAGGAACACTAAGGAAAACAAACAGCCCAGAGGCATGGGACTGACCGTGACCCCGAAGAAGTTGGTCTCGTTCATGGCATTGAGGATGATCCTGCCCAGCGTGTGGTCCGTGTAGTTGAAGTCCTGGATCCGCTGGTGCCGGCTGCTGGCATGCAGTGTCTCCATGGCCCTCTGCAGCGTCTTGGCGATGACCCAGATGCCATCGTAGGCATACCCATGGAACTTGCTGGGCCCCACGCCTGACCGCTTGTTGTTGTACTCTCTCTCATACTGCTGTGGAGTCTGGAAAAACAGGCGGATTGGGGGAATCCCAAGTTATACTCAGCAGGGACATCAGGTGCCTGATGCCGAGAAGAACTGCTATTCTTCAGTGCCCACAGGGTGCCAGGTACAGGGCTAGACTCTATGTGCATTATCTCATTTAACCCTCACAACAACCTCATAAGGTGGGTACTGTTGTTGTCCCCATCTTACAGACCCCCCCATTTTCAGTGGGTCAACTTGCGTAGTGCCACAAAGCTAGTAAGTGACAAGACTGATATTTAAACCCTGTCTGTTGGCAAGACTAGAAAGAGGGGATAATACACCCTAACCAGGCCTTTCCCTCTATACTTGCAGGGCCTGTGGTGAGGTAGAGGCCCATATCCTGTATGTCTGGATATTAAAGTTATAGACACGTGAACAAACTGTTCAAAAAATATTCTCTATTTCCTCATCATAATAAATACACCTTCCTGAGGATCTGGAAGGCCAAGCTGGAATTCAGAATTCTGGGACTTCTCTGAGTTTTAGGCCAGACACAGCAGCACAGAGAGGGAGCTGATCGGCCCACCCCTCTCCTTCCCTTCCCACCCCTCCCCTTCCCTTCCCACCCCTCCCCTTCCCTCCCACCCCTCTCCATCCTGCAGCCCAGCCAGGCTCAGTCCACACCTCCTTCCCCTTCCAGCATCAGTAGCTCCCTGTAGCCCCAAAGGCACAGTCTACCCTCAAGAACTGGGGCAATAGGCTCCCTAGGCACTGGAAGCAGCTCCAGCTTATGGGCTAAGAATTCAGGGCACAGTCTGGAAGCTGGAACGTGGCTTGCAGATTCCGAGCCCCAAGGGGCCTGAATAAAGCTGGGAGCATGGGACCCAGGGCAGGGCCCAGTTGCTCAGCTGTCAGGCAGCATCTGTCCCTCCTGCTATTTCGTCTACTTTCCATAATATAACAGTCTGAATAGGCCAGCATTGAAAAAAAGATTTTTTTTTTCTCCCATTGAGCTGAATTTCATAAAAGAATTTCATTGGTGATATTAACATTTTGATTGTGGCCGCAAAGGAACAAAACTGCCTTTTTACTCTAGACCTTGGAACTTGCACTTCCAGATGAATGCCCCCCCGGGGGACCCATTACCCTTAGGTCCTTCATGGGCCTTTTTTCAAATCACTTCTCGACTCCTCTGCCAGAAATGTCATCGGGGCCCACTGCTTGGTCTTTGGAAAAACCCTCCTTGGGGACAAATCACACACAGGACACTTGACTCATTGTCAGTTTATACTGAGAAGGGCCCCTTAGGGACAGTCACAGGCACTCAGTCAGTCTACAGCCTGAGGCACAGAGAGGTGCAGAGACATGTCCAAGGTTACACAGCTTGTGTGTGTGTGTGTGGGGGGTAGGCGGAAGTGGGTGCTGTGCCAGACTACCTTCCCATTTCATCTTGGCTACTTCTTTCCTCTTTGATTTCTAAAGTAGTAATTGCTTTTTGAAAACCACCACAAGTTGTTTGGGCCATGTCTAGTGTTTTTAAGGAAGGTGGTGGAGCTGGGTCATCAAAGGCTGTGTCTTCTGTGGCTAGAACCCACGGGGGCCAAGAAGCCAAGTCTCTTATGGGGCCACCCACACAGATGCCTGGGGGTGAGTGCCAAGTGCCTCCAGCTGTGGACCCTGCAGGCGACGAATTCTGCATGACCAAATGTGAATGAGTCCTGGCCGGGAGTCTGCCTTCTCCTTTGATTCAGGGTCCTCCTGGAAGGCCCAGGTTTGATCTGTTTACAGCTTTCCTTGGAAATGCATCCTCTCTAGCTACCACCACTCTGCTCATCACTCAAGATACACAATGGGCAGAAACTCCCTCCAAATCCCAGGTTCCTCAAGGAGACCAGCATTTCTAGCCCAGCTCAGCTCCCTGAGTTCGTCCTGTCACTCACATTCCTCCACCCGCCCACACTCCCCTCCCGCTGGCTCTTGAAGCTCATAGTCATCCCTGCCACTTTCACTCCGCCTGGAGAAGGAGGAAACGGTCCACTATGAGGCTCTCTCTCTTTAAACCTTTTGGGTCCCTTGAGCACATCAAGTTGGCTTGCACCTCAGGGCTTTGCCAAGCCGTTTCTCTGCCAGAAAGCTCCTTGCCCAGCTCTTGGCATGATAATTCTCGGCATTCAAATGTCAGCACCTGTCACTTCTCAGGGATGGCTTCCTTGACCCACCCGTTCTAAAAGCCCGTAGCCTGAGGCCAGGGGTTTTTATCTTCTTTATTGCACTTGTCACTCCCTGCAATTTCCCTCCTTATGTGTTTACTTGCTTATGGTCTGTGGTTTTACTCCTCCCTCCCCACCCACTTAGAATTAAGCTCCATGAGGTCGGGGATGTGATCTGTCTTGATCACTGAGGTACCACCAGGATCTCAAACAATACCTGTGTAAGCCCTTTCTAGGCCTCAGTTTCTCTGTCTGTAAAACACAGGAGCACGCCTATTCACACACTGTAGAGCAAAACTGTTCTTTCCAAATACAAAAAGTTGTAATCCTACTGTGTATGAAAGTATTCATTTTCCTGCATCCTTGACAATAGGTATTTTAATTTTTAACGCAACTGTCAGTTTGTTAAGAAAAACATACATATTTGTTAAGAAAAAAGTATTCTTTTAATCTTAATTTGCATTTCTTTGATTAATGATTAGAATGAGCTTATTGTAAATATTAACCAGCAATCTTAACTTTTTAGGTGAATTTCCTAATTATTTTAGGTGAATTTCCTATACCACATTGCTATGGTGATGGTCACATCATTTAATGCTTTGTTTTAATGTCTCCTTGTTATTTTTCCATCTTTTACTATTTGACTATATTTTCTTTTATTTTTTAAAATGTGATTTGTGTCTATTTCTGGTTGTTAACTACTGACCATTTTAAAAAGATTTAAACATTACTTGGATGTGTGTTTCTCTAATTAATTGCTTTAAGCATCACAGAAATGAGGCCCCTTTGACTTCTTTTTTGGATTTTGCTCCATGAGCTTTCTCTGATGCACGCAATGGCATTTGAGGGTTGGTGGTGTCCATTTTTGAATTCCATTGTTCAACCTAATGATTACATTCAGATGACATTTCTACACCACTTCCCTGACCAGAACACAACACTGGAGCAGGCTTCAAGATTTCTATGATCCTTTAAAAGTGGGAGGTCCAGACTTGAGGTGAACATTCCCAGTGTGGTCCCACCAGGTAGTAACTGAGTGTAATCTTAAACTTCCTTGATATAGTTTTGTTTTGTTTTGTGGGACACTAAGGGGATCAAGATCATATTGTCTATTGGATTTGGTCTTGAGGTCAACAAAAGTCCCTAAATAAACTTTACATATGCCACTTGTAAATTCATCTGTCTCAAAAAACTGTCCTCCCCAGGTACAAGGATCAGGAGGAGGGCCAAGAACACTGGAAACACTGCTCTTTACCAGATTTCCGTGGGTAGAGTCCTTGGAATGGGACACAGGTGTAGCTAAGCCCTGAAAGGTGACCTCAATTCTTGCTGTCTTTGCAAGCACAAGGTTGAAGAAATCCCTGCTGCCACATGATATCCCAGGCCATTCATCATCGTTCCCAGGCGATGCCAGCACCAACTCCCTTGGGCAAGACAATGACAGCAGGAAGAAACACACTCACATTGTTGGAGAAAAAGTAATAGTTGTTCTTAAAGCAGGCCTGCAATTATTCAGGGCAGAAGATTTTCTTCCATTGTAAAGCTCACACCGAATGCTGATTAATTACCATCCTCTGAGGTCAAGTTTATCGTGAGATGCTAAAAGTTTCTGAGCAAATAACTTATGCAGATAGTCCCAATTACTGACAGGTTGGCCTCCAGCATATTTTTTAAAGGCATTTGTTGGAACTTGGAACATATTTTCCCACAGACACTATGTTATAAATAGTGGTTAGGTTCCAAGGCTAGCCCACACAAGCTTGCTAACCTACAATGTGACTAAACTTTATGAGTCTGTCATCCCAACAGAAACAAACCGAGTCCTACTTTCTGGGAGAGGGGAGCCTCATGGACAGAAGAGAGGGCAGGAGAGGGATACATCCTCTTCCACATCTGCAACTGCTCCCCACAAAACTGAAACTGGCAGACTTTCTCGCTGGCATCCCTGTGGGAGGTTCAAATCATAGAATCTCATTTGGAAGTACATGAGAAAATATTTAGTTTGCTGGTTCCTGTGCTGTAGTTTGTAGATCACTTGGGAAGCTTGCTAAAAATGCAGATGCCAGGGCCGGGCATGGTGGCCCACGCCTACAATCCCAACACTTGGGGAGGCCGAGGCAGGATCATCTGAGGTCAGGAGTGCAAGACCAGCCTGGTCAACCTGGCGAAACCCCATCTCTACTAAAAATACAAAAAATTAGCTGGGCATGGTGGCAGGCATCTGTAATCCCAGCTACTTGGGAGACTGAGACACAAGAATCGCTTAAGCCCAGGAAGCAGAGGTGGCAGTGAGCTGAGATTGCACCATTGCACTACAGTCTGGGTGACAGAGTGAGACTTCATCTCAAAAACAAAAAACAAAGAAAGAAAGAACAGATGCCAGGGCTACATTTTGGTTCAGTATATCAGTGAGTGAGTTAACTTAGGCATCTGTATTTTAAAAAACCTTCTCATATTTCAAGCATACAAAAATTGGTAACCACTGATGAATTTCCTTCTGCAATCTGATTATTGGATAATTATTGGATCTTTTCAGTAGCAACTTCCAGGTGTTGGCTGAGTTTCTTCTTATACTCCTCCAGTATTGGGAAGCTCACTATGTCTCTTAGGCAGAACTTTCCACTTAGGGAATGGCTGATGTTGAGGAGACTTTCAGATGCAGAGTTTGTGCCTCTCTCCCTGAGACTTTTATTCAGCATGCTACATGTTCCTGCGGAGCCACAATACACACGTCTGCTCCTTGTATACCCAACAGCCCCTCAAAGAGCCAAAGACAGGGAGATGCCACCCCTTTTCTAATGCATTCTCCTTCTTTTAAGCAAAATA